AAAGAAGGAGCACCGCTATGCGAAGGTGCACCACCTGCAAAAGCAGCTTCAGCAATTAAATTACTCTGTTCGTCCCCCATACTGCTCTGTTGTCTCCCGCTATCTTCTCAGTGAGCAACACTTGGCTGAGGGTATTCTAGATCGTTACATATATGTTGTCAGCTCACTGGTCACAACGCAGGACAGGGCCTAGGAACAGGCTTACTGCAAGTTATGTATCTACCGTGCCCTTCTTCTTCATTTTCCATAAGCTTTTTACTGACTATTTTTTTACTCTCACAGTAATAGGGAGCAAAGTGTGTTCCTTATCCACTAAATACAGAACAGGTATTTCTATTTCTTGATACAGAATGATTACATATTTCAAGAGACAGTTGACAACCCTACCTGCTTACATCCCATTTGTAATCCATATTGTTTAAGATAGTGTCGGTTCAACTTTAAAAGCGACAAGAGATTCAACTCTTATGGTCAGGAGTTCTGCAAGGTTTAGTGTATTAAAAGTTTTTTTCTGCTATCCTGAGGTCAGACACTGACATTAGACTAGAAGCCTGGTTCTGCTGGAGGTTGCCTGGTTCTGCTGGAGGTTTCTTCCTGTTAAAAGGGAGTTTTTCCTCTCCACTGTCGCTACAAGCATGCTTAGTGTGAGGGATTGTATTTGAGTCAATGAGTCAATGCAATCAACTGGTTTTCCTTAGATAGAAAACTTTGTATCAATTTGACTGTATGATCTGGTTGAACTGTAAAGTGCCTTGAGATGACATGTGTTGTGAATTTGGCGCTATATAAATAAACTGAATTGAATTGAATTGAACTGAAGACTTAGCTACCAGTCTCAATCTAATTTATCTAGGATGTTGTTCCAGGTTGTTGGCTCTGTGCACGTCAGCTAAGTTCATCCACACTAAATCGACTCATTCATGCCTTTAGGAACTTTTGTGAACTGGTAGACGGCAAACTGTTTCACAGAGTCAAGGATATGAAACTGACCAAAGTGTCTCAGAATGCTGTGGCATTAAGAATTCCTTTTAACTTAAGAAGCCGAGTCCAGTTCCTGAACCACAACCCCAAATAAGAATCTCTCCAGCACCAAATCTTACAGTTCACACAATGCAGTAAGACAAGTGTTGTTCTCCTGGTAACTGCTTAAACCTGACTTGGTCAATGAACTTACAGAGAATCTGCTCTAGAGTCCGTGGGCATCCTGCATCATGTCACTAAAGGTGGTGTTTTACAATGTGATGCAAAGGTTGGAAGCAGTTGAAATCAATTCAACGACACACTCAACTCACTGCTCCTACAATTTAAAGGTCAGCTGAGTCTTCTATGTGCATGATGCATCTATGTGATTTTACATGACGCTCGTTTCCAATTACCTCCATTATGTTTAAATAGCACTATTGAATGCAGGTGTATTTTTTTAGCAGTGGGATATATATACGGTATTATATACGTACAGGAATGGAGCTTAAAGAATACCTTAATACAATGCTGGTAAATAAAGACTGTGTACCTGGATTGCCTTATTTCCATTGGAATCTCTAAATTAATATTTGAGTTTTAACAACTTACCAGGTTTATTCTTAATACAATTAGGAACATATATATGTACAGTGATATAGGGACAGGACAGGATAAGCTATTGCTTCTTCCTGCTCACTTTTCAAACATCGTGAAAATTGATTTACAAATATATTGTTGTATTTTGTTATTAATGTTCTTTGTTTTTGTAATCTGCTCTACATGTTACCATATGTGTATATTTATATATACATATATTTATGGCTTTTTAAAAATATTTTTCTTCCTGTTTGAAATACCAAATAAAAGGAAAAAAAGAAGAAAAAGGTATATAAAAAGGGGCTCAACTACACTGAAGTACATTTGGACTTTTCTATATGAACGCTAACCTTGCAAAAATATATGCACAGTGTACAAAGTGTCTTTCCAAAGAAAGTTTGCACTTCCCCCTTTTGCTTGTTTGTGTCAGCCTGTGCGTGAGTGCATGTGTGTGGGATGAAAACGGGGTGCGGTGGGTGTAAGAGCAGTTTCCTGTTGCTGGGAGTGGGACAAAAATCTGTTTCCTTTCACAAAGCCCACCGCATTGTCTGGAGGGTCTGTGTTTTCTTTCGTTCTTCATGAAGCAACGCAAGCGCATGTACAGATACACTCACAATGGTTTACTCTGAAAATAGAAAAAGTGGGAGCGTGCAGGGGTAACGACGTAGGTCACAATCACTTTTTACAAACACACCCGCAGCCTCGAACCTTGCTCCTATCTTTGAGCCTGTGAACTGTCCCAGGATGAAATAGCTGTGATAGAGCTGACACATGCACCAACAATAGCCTAGGTTCAGATATAATGAGTGCGCCTGTGCATGTATGAGTGTGTGTGCATAAACAGCATGTGGAGGAGCTGATGGCGTTATCTGCTGTCCATTCTGAACATTCCGTGACAGCGGCGGTAAGGGAGTATCTTACTGTGTTGGGCTGCTTCATTGGAGAGCTTAATGTTGCTGTGTGGGTGTGTAACAGCACTCACACACAGAGCATGACTCCTAAAAACGTAGTCCTGCTTCAAGTTCTGCCGAGAGAGAGGCGTGAGGGGGTGCGGATGACACAGACTTGGATTTCATCAGTGGAGAGCTCCACCATATTTCAAACAAGGTTAAAACTGTGTTCTATTCGAATGTGCATTGTGATGCTGCCAGTAGTCACCCCAATGCCTTCAAAAAGCATTCATATCCCTGGAAGCTTTTCTAATTTTAACCCAGTAGAAATAAAAATTGCAACATACTTTAATTGAATTGTATGTAAAAGACTTGCTGTGCAGATGAATCATTGAGGAAAACCTCTTAGGGGCAAAAGACTGAAGACTTAAGCAAAGATCCCCCTTCCAGAACAACAACTCTACACACACAAACAAAAGATACCATACATGGTATCATTGGTGCTACAGTGTCAGGGAAACATGCAGAAGCAATGTATGTGTTAAATACAGCTGATTGCAATAATCCACATTTTCCTCTACTTTTTCTTTTTAGTCATCAAGGTCTTCCAACCATTAAGATCCACATCAAGGACAGGCATTCAGAGCAGTAGAAGGTGACTTATTCACAAATTTAAGCTGTCACTGTAAAGGAAACAACATAAAATTGTATGAAAACTTTTTTTCAGGTCCATAAATATGAGTTAAACATATCAAAAGATATTTATTTTGGTATAAGTCCATCAAACTGCCCAAATAAATCCTTAGAACGACACAGAAAAATGTTGACGCTTGAAATGACAATGCCTCCCTAATATTGCATCTAAACAGTCTCTTAGAATTGCAACTCTTGTAGACATTGTAATGTAGCTCAGGTTGAGTCAAAGCACATTCGTACGGTATATATGAACAGATCTGCAAAAGTCAAGAAATAAACGAAATTGAAAAGCTTAAGCATGACTTGATCATCTTACGGTACATTTAAATCGCCTCTCTAGACAACCTGACTGAGTTTTTTGCAATGGAAATTAACCATGAATGTCAACCTCTTAATTAATGGTGTGACGTGATAAAGTGTTTTAAATTGAGTTAATTACAGAGCCTGTAATTAATCACAATTAATCACATTTTAAAGGAAAACCATATATCGACAAAACAAACCAACATTTAAATTTAAAAACCCTTTTTAGTCTGAGTTTTCAATAAATAATCATATGAGCACAGCAACACATATATTTCTTGTATTTAATTTGGGTTATTGAGCCATTGTAGAAGGTTAAAATCATTTAGCTTTATTTAGAAACCCCTGATATTTTATGCAATTTCTTTGAAAAACTACTTCTATAGAAGTGTGAACAGTTCATAAATATTAATTATAGCACAATTCCTTCAACTAATTATGGTAAAAAAAAAAAAAAAGTATAAATATTGCAACAAGGCATAAATTGTTGCCTGTAAACAGAAGATACGTTTCATTTCTAATACTGACAGAACTATTACAGTTCAGCTCTAGATAAAGCATTGCCTTTCGGAGCTTAAAAATTGCTATCTAATATGGAGCTTTTAGTGCAATTAGTGGTTAATTTACATACAGTTAAAGAAATTGTGAGTGCAGAGAGTGCAGAGAGCGTAGAGAGCGTGGGATCTATCAGACAGGGTGTATACAGAGACGAAGTGGAGCACACGTGCAAATTTTGTGAATTGAGCAAGGAAAAGGTGTGAAGCAGGAGCACAGGTGGCTTGTCAGAGTTGAGCGCATGGCAGAGAGAGTTTTTGAGCGAGGGAGGTGTGAGTTTAACTCTGCAAGTCTTTCTCATGCTGTAGGTGTACAATAAACAAGCTAGTATGGATGGCCACGATTGGGAATTTTGTATGTATATAAGAAAATGCAATTAATTGGATTCATTTTTTAACACATTAAAATGTTTCTAACTAATTAATCTAAACTAATGCATTAATGTCCCAGCCCTACTTAATCTCAAATAAAATGGAAGTGATGGTGAAAAGTTCTATGCAGGTTCTTTGTAGTACTACCGGTACTCAGAAGGGCCAATAACAAATACACACTGCATTTTTCACATTTTGATTTATTATTGAAAAAAACATAAATTCACTAAAATCCATTTAGTTTATCGGGTATATTGGGACAAATGGTAAAACAAAAGGAATATGAGTATTTCTGACAGCATTGCATTCATCAGTTCACTTCCTGCTTCCAGCTTTTTAAAACCAGACTGGGTATCGATGAGCTGCCTGACATTTGAATGAAAACTACAATGAGTGTAGCTATGCAATCAAGTTATTTGGAATATTAAATGAAAATTACACTATGCATACATGAAGAAGACATGTAAGAAACCAACAATTTTAAACAGGTTAAAGGTATTTGTGGTATGAGGAAAGAGGACAGTCTTATTTAATTAGTAGCATGCCTTCTCCAGAAGCATCACTGAGTTATAAATTTAGTAAATCCATAGAAAGTAGAAACAAAAGAACAAAGATGCATCAATACCTTAAGATGCTGAAGTTGCCGTCGATCATCATCAAGCTGCCTTCTCTTGTTTTCAATCTCTGTCTGCTTCTTCCTTTTTTCCTGTCACCCCATAGACAAATACAAAGTGTTCAGAACAGGCAACAACCACAGAGATTGTAAAGCATAAAAAATTAGCATTATTAAGTAGACTAGTTTGAATTAATAATTATTATGACCGCTGCTTTTAACAGTGACACTGGTACGAGCAGGTTTGGCCAGAGGTTCAATAGGGCCCTGAGCAGAATTGAGCTAATAATTTGATGTAAATAAGTTTGTTAATGTTGTTATTCTGTATATTATTTGCTGTATACATTTTTTAAATCTTTTTGTTCTATTAAACATCTTTACAAAAGGAAGTGGCCAGATTTTACCGTTTTGGTCAATAATGAAATACTTAAAATGACATTATTTGGTGAGAACTATCTGCAAACTTAATCATGTTCCAGGCTCAGGAAAAGAATAATACCTGAATTACATCAGTGGCATTAAATTATGACTCCACAAGTATATTCATCAAAGTATGAAAATGTTTACATAATCATATATTTATTGCTCATTTGAATTCTTTTCTTAAACAGATTTGAATGTTATATTAAAGGTATAGGTGAGGATGTTCTTTTTCCAGGTCGATCGTCAAAATAAGTGGTCCTCCTAAATGTCAATCATTCTGGTAATATGTTTACATAAGGCCGTCCTACCTGCTCGTCATAGCTATCTTTTTCTGCACATGCGCACTTTCTGGCGTATATCTGTGGTGAGCTACGGTTTCAAGCAGTCATTGAAGTTCGCCTTTCTCACCGCGGTTCTTTGGAAATGGCAGAGGGTCGTAAGAGCAAAAGTGTCTACGAGAAGAAAAGAAAGGCCTAAGATGCTCTCGCATGGCTCTCGCCCTGCTGTTGCACAAGTTTTATAGGCATTCCCTCTCAGGAACAGGGTTTTGCATCTGCATTTTATAATTGGAATTTTATATATACTTTAATAATCCCAGAGGGAAATTACTTCTCTGCATTTAACCCATCCCCTTGGGGAGCAGTGAGCTGGCATTGTGAAGCACCCGGGGAGCAGTCTGAGATTAGGGGTCTTGCTCAGGGACCCAGAGTGGCAGTCTGTGGGAGTGGGGGATCGAATTCGCAATCTAAGGATTGAAAGCCCTATGCCCTAACCATTAGGCCGCCACTCCTCTTTTTCAATAATTTGAGAAAATCCTCTACCATGCATTTAATACAAAGTGCTATAGTCTTTTAAAACACCTAAATAATTTAGCAAACAATTGAGCAAATTATAAAGTTGGCTCATTATCATAACCTTAACAACAGATAAGAAAAAAACAACATTCTGCAATACCAAGTGTTTAAGTTCAAGGGGTCTTGGGGGGCCTGGGGCAGAGCTCCCTTATGCCTCGGGTCAGCAATCAATGCCAGACTGCTAAGTGCTTGTGTAAAGTTTTACTGCAAATCCCCAAAAGGTTGATAGTTTTGTTTAAGGAGGCATCTGGTTTCTTTTAAGATATGAAGCCTGGCTTGCCTCACTGCATATACATGTTTATGTGATTGGTTCCTTTCCAGTTTTTCCCTGAAGGGAACCTCTAATATCATTTCATTTTGATTGAAAAAGGATTTAGTCACAGCCAGCAGCAATAAATTATGTAAATCAAGTAAATCACTGTTTAAAAACCAAAGTTCATACATCCAATTGATCCTAAGAAAAAAAAGGGGTTATAAGTTGTTTTTTGACGCTGTCCAAATTTTTACTATATCTATATATATAACAAGTATGGATGGGCGATATTTTATCGTGTGCGATATAGCGTCCAAGAAATTCCCCACAGTAACAATTTGAATTTATGGTTTTTATCATGAGATGACTATTTATCAGGTTGTGTTTGCAGTTGCACCACTTTGGTTTTTTTTTATAAGCCAAGTTAGTTTTGCTGTTTGCATCGTTTGCATAAATTTGGAATTTGGTCTCTCATATTTCAGACTTATTTGATTGGTATCACTACAGTTTTGCAGTACAGGTGCAGTACTTGAACTTAATTGATATAGTTTAGTGGTTTCTAGTACTTTGTAGGGCTTTCAAGAGAGAATTTAGTGACAGATTTATAATACAAAATATTTTGCTGGTAGTTTTTATCGTTGTTTATTGTTACAGTGATAAATAAGAGAAATTATCATGATACATTTTTTAGTCCATATCGCCCATCCCTAATAACAAGTTCTGATAAAACTTGTTATATAAAGCAGGACAAGCTGGAAAGATATGGCGATTGTAAAGCCTTTGAATGTGATGAGATTAATTGCTTCTGCCAATAATCAGTGAAAAAGTTACAGCATAGTATCAAATTTTACACATTCTTTTAATTCTTTAATTATTCTTTTAATCGAACACAAAAAAGTATTACAGGAACAACAAATACTATGCATCTGGTAACAAGAGTGAAACAAGTGAGTCTTTTGTAGTGTCAGCCAGGGAAAGGTTTTTCATTTCTAACACACATCTTATGATAAGAGGGTCAGTAAAATTCTTGGCATACTTGAAATTATTGATAGGTCCTAGAATCACTGGCGAGCAAATGTGCATTTGCTCTTCAAACTTTATTTAAAAGTTTGTTTAAAAAGTATATATTATGTAGAAAAGAAACAACGGTTGCACAGCTAAGTGAGATAGCAGAAGACAGAAAGAAAAAAGGAGTAAGATGTATCTACACCATTAGCTAAGGATGTCAGCTAATGGGTGCAGAGGATGGGATCTAAAAGGTAGAGTCATTAAGACATGCTATCAGACCTTGACAAGCGGCAATGATTTGTTGTCTCGACAGCAGTCAGTGTGGCCTGGTCTGATAGAGTTAGGAAACAGGCTGTGTTTGTGTGTGTCTGCATGTGGAAACTGCTTACAGCGATGGCCTGGAGTCTCTCCTCTTGTGACACCTCAGCCATCCTGAGAAAAGAGAGAAAAAATAAACAGACTTAGAAATGGATACTAGGAACCCCATGTGACCATCAACATTTTGACAAACAGTTTTCTTCTAGAGAAAAGTTACTTTAACAAACGTTTACTTTCCAACGCCTTCCACGTGAATGAAGTGAAATATCTGTCTATTTGGCACTAAGGCAGCGCCTCTTTCCTGTCTGAGCGAGACAGGGTAGGCAATGCTAATGTGGATTCATTGCACTGCTGGAGATTCCTGCTCTAATGGGTTCCAGACCAGAGGTCCAGGATGGAGGATGGACGGAAGCAGGTTTTAGTGTCAGAGTGGAAAGACTGTTTCTCTACTGAGATGGGACAGATATGTTTATAGTCATACTAAGTCTCTATATCATTGTTTTATTTTATCAACTACAACTCAAGTACAAATGTTATTAATTCATTCATTTAAACAGAAAAGCACCCATAATTGTTAAAACCCCTGAGGTAATGTCCCCTGTGTTAATCTATAGTCAATATGCCGTCATGGTCATCACATCGACAGAGCTTTAAAGAATAGGAACTATTTTACTAATTACTAGTTTGTATATTTTCATATTGGTAATCTGCTGAGGTCTTAAGAAACGATTACGGTGGAAACTGGTTGGTTAGCTGAATTTGAAGGCTTTCAGCTGGACTATACCTAACAAATAACTATGATTGGGCATTCATTGTTTTTTACAAAAAAAAAAACGCCAACAAGTTATGTTAAAACTCAACACTTTTCTGTTAGGATGTGGAAACTGAGGCAAAAAATATTTAAAACATATTAAATAAAGTGTTATGTTTAAACAAGATGTTTTTTTAAAAAGTGAAGTCAGAATAAGCACAGACATTTAGGATATTTTAAATGAAAACTGCCTTTTATCAAGCTTCTTGAGACATATTGGCCGCCTCATTAATATTGCAAGAGAGAGCAAGATTTCTACTAAATAACAGAAAGGATTAATGAGTTGCTGGAAATAAGTATTAAAGTATTAAAGTTTTACAAAAAAAGATCAGAAATCAGCAAATCAAATTTAACAACAGCATTTTTTTTCATTCTGAGCAAAAATAATGGTTATATGGACACCCTGAATGTTCAAATTTTAGCAGCCTTTCGGAAATCTGAAATGTAAACTAAAATGATTGACTGCTCTCCTCAGGAAGGATAGTCAAACTATTTTGAGTGTTCTGATTTACTGCAGTTAGACAGAAATCTAAATCTAAAACGTTTAGATGGAAAGTCAGGAATACAGCTGTTAAACTGTTATTAGAACATCATGAATTAATAATAGAGTATTAGCCACTTGAGCTAAGACAGTTAACTGGATTAGTTGTGATTGGTTGATTATTGAATAATCCTCATCTTATGCAATAACCCAGTAATTATTTACTGGATATATTGCTATATGTTTTGCATTTAAGATGAAAAAACTCTTGTCTTAATCCACAACTGTTTAAATAGCATACGGTAGTTTTGCACCACTTGCTATCCAATTAATAATCAGTAAAACACAAACTTCCACTGGTTGGTAAAATAATTGTTGGTTGCAGCCTTATTAACCACACAAATTTGTTGTTTGTTAGAGAGAAGACACAATCAGACCATTTTATTGTATAACCTTTACAGAAGCCTCAGCTCCTGTCTATCTCTTGCTGCTAAATGGGACACAGTGAGTGGAATGTATGTAAAGCATGCCTATATTTAACCTTGTAAACATGAGATTTGGTATCAGCCACAAATATCTATTGACACGTCCTCAGTTTAAAGTCAGACAAGTTCTGTTTTCTGGACATGAGAATTTGACTCTATAAGCTTTTGTGTTACAGTTATTTTTTATGATTGGAGAAGCATTTTAATGAGCAGAATGGAAATTCTGTGAGCAAAATACATTGAAACCAATTCTATTTCTAAAGAAAAGGAGAATATGGAAAAATTAAATGTAATTATAAATGGATCTTAAAAACGACTGCATATATTTTAGATCAATACCTTTAACTTTCATATACCCTCATAGTTTTTATAAAAGTAAAACTTAGAGATGGTTTAGATTAAACTTGCACCATCAAAGTCCACCTTAAGATTTTTTTTTCTACAGTACACATTATCTATGGATACTTTACGGTGGGACTAACATGTAAAAATTTAATTTGCATAGTGCAGAGAACAGGATAACAAGTCTAACTTACTGAATTGGTGTCAAATTATCAATAGCTGCTACCTCAGGGGAAGCTATTGAATTCTTCCATTCTGCTTTGAGTCTCTTTTTTTTTTTTTTTTAAAGAAAAGAAAAAAAAAGGCAAAACTATTTTAAGATTGTGTAAATGAATTAATGATTTCAGCCCTTTTGGAGATGGTATTTGATTAAAAAGCAGCTGTTTCATGGCCGCGCAATGGCAGCTTTATTACCTCTCACCTAAAAAAACAAAACAAGAAACAATGGAACAACCCTGCATGACTTTAACCAACTAACTCAACACGTTTCCGAGCAAAACACGTGTTGAAGTCACTGCTCCCGTTGAGTGGCAAAGTTCCCACTGTAACAGTGTGAATTAGCTGGCATATCTTTCTGACTAAGCACTCATGGAGCTTATTACAAAGACTGAAAACACACACTTCTGATGGCTCTTTGGCCCTGCAGTAAGCTGTAATCCACTGAACCTTTAGTACTCCTCTGGTCTCCAACATGTGGGTTACGACTCCTCACACCCCTGTGGAGCATCATATGAGTGACCTCAATAAACAGAATATTTTCCCATCAAGCCACATCAGTATCACATGGAGATGCTTTGGGGGGAAAAATGAACCGCTATCATCTGATCAACCCCTCAAGCTCAGTCATAAACACACACATATTATACTTTCTGGTTTGGTTTCCTTTTTTAAAGTTTGACCTGTCAGGCTAATCAAGCAAAATCCGGTGGAATAAAAGGGCATTTGAGAAAGATGAGATCTGCATAAAGAAAAAAAGTTTAATATGATGGACCATAGGTGTAAACAAAATACAAATAAATAGAACTATTATTATATGTTAGGAATCCAGTTTGTGTGGGTTGTGTTTTTTTGTTTGTTTTCCTCTACCACCAGGTGGCGCCTGGTTCTTGTTGGCCTTCTCACACACCTGCAGATGGTTGCCTCATTACCAGTGGACTCTTAAGCTGCTGACTGCCACTACCTCAACGTCAGAGTGTTTGCCAGTTTTGGGTACTCTAGCCAAGCTGAGTTTTGCTGAGTCAAACTGAGTTTTTGTCAACCTGAGCCTTAACCTTGTTGTTTTTGTCTTTGCCTCTCGGCAGGAAGTCATCCTGCAAACTGGATGTTTGGACCTTCTCTCCCTGGAAGGATCATCTGAGCTTCAAACTGAGCTGGGGATTCAAACTGGAGATTTGGATCTACTTTTCCCCAAGGGATTGTTTGAGCTTCACACTGGGCAAGGGATTCATCTCCACAAGAAAACGTTCAAGTACCGCAGGAAATCTAAGTGGCAATCAGCTCCTCCGTTCCTCAAGGAAACACCTCAACTTGGGTAAACCCTGTCCGCCCTCCAACGAACAAGTCTATTACTGGAACAACCCACACCGACTGGATTCAAAGAGACACACCTTTTTCTGGAAACGTGAGTCCTGTTGACTTTATTCCCTTTTTCAAATCAAAGACACAAATTTCCCACTGAGCCTGAACTTACCGCAGAATCTTCCCCTTCACTTTTCATTCAGTGTTCAGAGCAGCACTGGACTCCTCTCTAACTACTCACAATAAACCTGTTAAACCTTCCCCTGGTCTCTCTGTTGGGTTTTCTGCATGTGGGTCAGATCTTTGGATAAAATCATGACATTATAACTGTCATATAATAATCTGAACCTGTCATAATTAGAACTACGGTAAACTTCAGTCTTAATCTTCATGTTTAGTATGCCTGGGAAAAAAACACGTTAGAGTTTTCATGTAATGCTTTATACAGCAGATGATTTCCACCCATGGAAAACAATGCCTGCTCCTGACATAATAAAAAGGCTCATTTGTAATTTTCAAAAACACAGCCTGATCTAATCACCCCATTGCCTACATCTGTCCTCCATAATGCATCAGCTGCATATCAGTTCTGTTAAAACTTGCACGCACATCTTTAGTTGTACTGTGGTGCACTAATTATGCCACATTTCATGCAACAGTTAGAACACAAAAAGTTCACACTAAATTGATCAACATGGAATCTCATTGATTTTTGACTGGGATCACCAGACATGCAGCCAGTGGACACTAACATAAACACCTCATTATTGTAATTTCCTCAATCATTAAGAATGGTTTATGACCATACTGATTTTCTTAAACACATTTTGACCTAATGTGACTATGCTTATGATATAGTCAATGAATAGCTGCTATGAATGAGTGAAGCATAAAATAACACTAACAGTTTGAAGATAATATGGTCGATAACAAGTCCAACATCGATATACATTACATCGGCAATTCAGAAGTTGTTTTAAAGGTTATAGTGAATTGAAGGGCCATCAAAAGGTTTCAGAGGGGTAAATGATAATCATTGAGGTCACACAATAAACTAGGGGTCAGTGTGTTGGAGGGCGGGTTGAGAGTGAGTCCTGGACACACAATCACCATAAACTGGATTTTGCACACCTGGCTTAAACACTGTTAGAAACCATTTAGCCTTAAAACCTGCCGTAATTATTATAAATTAACTGAGGTGTACATATATTCTTTAAAAACTTGTATATTAACATGATAGCTTCTCACTCAAACTTTAAGCTCATGTTTAACTACGGTGCAATGCACTCGATATCCATGTTTACATTCACATAATTCCTTGTTTCAGTTATAATCTGCTTGGATCGATAAAAAAATCATTATCCAAACAGATCATTCATGTGAGCCCTAAAACACATATTCCAATCATGATGTGCATTTACTTATACCAAGATTTATTCAGAATAAAAGCACTTCTCCACATGTGGGAACAAAACAA